GTGGGGTGGGGGTGGGGCATGTACATCCCTCCGCCCGTCCTCCCTGCCCGCCTCCCGGGTCAGGTTCAGTCCTTCCACTCCTTTTTGATGGTGAGGTTCCACTCCCAGGACAGGTGGTCAGTTTTGTCGTCATCTGTGAAGCGGGACTTGATGTTGTAGCTGCCTCGAGCCAGCATGCCCTTGGGCGCCTCCTCCATGGGGGTCAGGAACTCGTACTCCTCTGCCCGGGGCCCGTAGCTGCCCACCATGTAGTCAGTCTTGTCAACTGTGGTGCAGGGGAGATGGCGTCAGGGAGCACAGAGGCGCAGGGCACACACCGCCTTCCCCTCCCTCCCGATCCCCATCCCCGACCCCGACCCTGGGTGGCCACTGCCCTCTGCCCCTTCCCACAGGCACCTCCCTCATGGGGGCTGGCGCCACCCTCACTCACTCTTGACGCCTTTCCGGTACGTGTGTTGGATGTACTTCATGCCAGACACGATCTCTCGGTTCACCTGCAGGGAGGAATCCCGCGGGGCTCAGTCGGGCTCTCCAGCCCAGCTTCCCCTGCGCCTCCCAGGGCCTCTGCCTTACCCGGAAAGAGATCTTTATCCGATACTCCACACCCTCCTTCAGCACAAAGGACTGCTTCTTGAAGCTCTCCAGGTCACCTGTGTTCGGGAGGACATTGTGCTAGGAGGCTTAGCAAGGGGGAGCCGCTGCCCTCAGCATCTCCCCCCTGCGACTGCCCCTTCCACTCCCCAACCCCAAGGGGCCCCGACCGGCCCCTCCCAAGCCAGAGCTTGGCTGCGCTTCCTGTGTCCCCACCAGAGGGCGCCAGCTTCCCACCAGGAGGCAGCCTCCGCGGGCCCCAGGTACCACCCACCTGTCAGGTCCAGCTCCAGGGGGCCGGGCGCGGTGCTGCACACCAGGGTCAGGCGGGTGACCACGACGTTGGGGACGTTGGGGTCCGCAGACACGGCCACGCGGCCCAGCAGGGCCTCCTTGTACTTGCGGAGGCTCTCGTCGTCCTTGTCCAGCTCCTGGATCTCCTGGATGCTCTTCTGGGCGGGTGGCTTGTAGTTGACCGAGTGCTCGTCCTCCTCGTTCTCTGCCGCGATCTGCGCCAGCTGCTCGGCCGTGGGCTCCTGCTCCGCCATGCTCGCTCAGGCTGGGTCTGGGACACCTGTGGGCAGGGTTCGCTGTGGCAGCCTGGAGGGACCCTCCATTTCCCTCCCTCCGCCCCTTGGCAGGCCCCGCAGCCAACAGAGGCGGGCTGTGTGAAGGAACCTCTGCAGGCCAGGCCCCATCTGTGCCCAGGGGGAAGGGGTACCCTCTGGGGCAGGGGGGCAGCTACAGCCAGAGCTTGTCAAAGGGCCCAACAGAGACTCCCAAGGCCCCGAGGGGCCACGTTAACCTCAGGGAACCTGCTGGGACACTGAGAGGACCCACGCTAAGCACGCCACCCAAAACTAAACTAGACCTGCAGCCTGCTCCTCAGGAGACCAGGCACCCTCCCCTCCCTCCAGGAGGCAGCAGTAACCCGGCCCCGGCTGGGCCGGCCCTGGATGGAGTTACCTCAAGTCCTGCTCTACGCTGCCCAGGCCCTCACTCCAAGGGACCTCTCCTGCTGGGTCAGGGAGCTTTCCCTGACCACCAATGCCCCTGGGGCCCCGTCCCAGCCGGGAGCACCGCCTTATACAAGACACAGGTAACACGGTCAGCCTGACTCCCACAGGTAGGTCTCTAAAGGGCACTGGCGCCCAAAGCGTCTGCGCAGGTTCTCTCCCGTCGGGAGGGTTTGAGACCTAGAGATGGGAAGCGCTGTAGCTGCTTGGCATCCCCAGGACCCCTCTGCGGACCCTGGTGCGGGAGAGCCGGGGCTGCGCTGCCAGCAGGAGCGGCGCCTAAGGCTGAGGATCCCCCTCCCGCCCTTCCTATAATCTCGGGGGCGGATCTGAAACCCCCCCGATGCATCCGGCCAGGGCAAGGTGGGTCAGGGCCCAGCCGACCCCAGGCCGCCGGTCGCCCCGGGGAGGTAGCCGACGCCTTCCCCTAGCCCGGCAGCCCGGACCTGCCCCGTTACCGGATCCACAAAGGGCCGCTGGGCACCCGGCGCGAGGGGGCTGCGGGCAGGCGCGGCGGCGCCGCTCTCCGGGTCCCCTCGCTGGCAGTTCCCC